GGAATTTAGCTGCTAGAAAATGGAAAAGTACAAAACCATGGCTAATTCCAAGTCCTGCACCTGCACACATAGCAGTGTCCTTGGGCCTAGCTGTGGTATAATAACAAACAGTGAAAGAGACATGAGAAAAGAGAGATGTAACCCCTAAGGAATGATGATGAGTTAATGCTATAGTTTAACCAATAGATTGCTTGGCTTACAGAATATTCATAAGCTTATTATTTGCTGTATAAGTGTTTGATACTTTCTTCAATAAACTGGACCTGAAGGACCTGAGGGACCGGGACTGGACCAGACCTGAAAGGCCTGTGATGAACCAACTGGTGTCCTGGTCCCCTTCCTTTGACACCTGACTACTCCACTGCTGTCCTATATGCTTCAAGATTGTAAATTCCATCAGAGCATAAGCACTGCAGCCAAGGTTAATGCTTTCTCTAATCTGTTAATAGGATTGATTGGTTACAAACATTTGATTGGTTACAAATTGAGAGCTCTAGGAATAAAGTAGGGAATGAATTATGGTAGTGATTGTAAAGGCAGGCTCAATTGAATTTTGGGGAGAGGAGAAGAGACATAGGTGAAAATTTGAGATCATCTCAGGGTGGCATGTGAGAGTAAATAACTTACAGTATTTTAGTATTTGGGAGCACAAGAACTTTATGGATAAACTCATGACAGCTTTTTCAGGTTGACGTTGGTGAAAGAGGTCTGGTAGCTGTCTGTGGAACAAACAACATATTAAACTTTCAGAGTATGAAAGAAAAAAAAACATGCTTGTAGAAAGAAAGAAGAGATAGAAACACAAGTGTTTGAAGCCCTTGTAGTGACTGGAAGTGCATGTCCTTGGAGCTTTGTGGTGTGTGTTGGTGCCCTAAATTTCAAGCTGTGCCTGTATTGAAAGCAAGCTCTTATTTCTCTACTTCAGATGATCCAATAGCCTCTAGATTACAAGGAAGAAATTTGTCACTGAGGACTGTGGTTTGTCAGGCTGTTAGTTGATTTGATTGAATGCTCTAAACAGCATAAATCCTTACTGTAGAATGGCCCATTGTTGCATGTATTGTATGGCTAACAGGCTGACCTAAACTTCACTGAATGTCTTGCCATTTCTTATCAAGAATCTGTCAAAGAGGCAGTTGAATGATGGGCACACTGTAGCTGAGGGTTCAGTTTAGGATTCCTGTTGCTTTGACTGAACCACTGAGGAAAAAGCAGTTCTGGTGCTTCTTAAATATTGTAATTTTGTCTGCAAAACCACCTTTATCTGTGGCAAAGTGCTCTGACTGATATTTTCTGAAATGTTTTCTATACAGAAGACTAAAACCACCAGTTTCTTGTATTTTTCTGCTATGTAGAAAGAGGTCTAAAAGAAAAAAAATAGCTTATACTGAAATACTCTGGAATATTCATCTGCATTACTGCTTATCACAGAAGATGCTGAGTTGGAAGGGACCAACAAGGATCATGGTGTCCTGCTCCTGCACAGGATCATCCCCAAGAACCAAAACATGTGCTTTTGTTAAGCTTTGGCATTTTCCAGAGCATCTAACTGAGCTAGTTTGGAATAAACCCACCAATACGATTTTCTAATTGACAGACAACCACTTTAGAACTCTTAAGATTCAGGAGAGACTGCCTCTGCAGCTAGCAAGATTAAAAAATGGTTTTGGCCCGCAGAAGCTCCTGCCAGTATGTAAAATTGATAAAAAATAGCAAGCAAAAAGGAGACAGGCTTTTCTCAGGGGTATCCAGTGACAGGAAAATATTAAGTGGAGGGAAAGAAAACTACATGTAATTCCACATGAAGATAAAAAAAATGCTCCTTTTTTGTGATGTGAGGGTGGTCAGGTGCTGGAATAGATATCCCAGAGAAGTTGTGGAGTCTCCATCCTTTAGATACTCAAAACCAGGCTGGACACAGACCTGAGAAAACTCTAGTTGTACCAATTTTGGGCGGGGGAGTCTAGATGAACCTCAGAAACTTTTTTCCAAAATCAACAATTCAGATATTCTTAAAACTCTTCCCTGATTTTTTAATTCCTTAATACCTTTAATGTAGGATATAAGGCAGGGGACACCTATATTTCACTGGAATATGAGAAGTAGAAAGAGGATTTTCAAGCAGATAAGAACCAAATTTAATACTTAACTCATCATATGGAGACAGAGGAACTTATTACTTTAACGCTACTTCTCTGGATACAATTCATTACTATAGTTTGCAATTTTTAATTCTGACTTTAATGTTAATACAGGTGGAAAATATAAAACCATAAATATAATTTTTGTATTTTCATTTCTTTTTCCTTTTGGTTGTTTTTCTATAGAAAGCTTTTCAATTTATAGAGAGATGTATGGAAAGTAAAGAAATAATACTTATGGAACCTGATCCATATGTGTTGGAGGAATTCTACACATGTCACAATCTAAGCAGTTAATGGGGTTTATATTATTAAAATTAATAGTTTACATAAAAGAGTCATGATTTGGTTTTCTAATATCAGTGGGTGTATTTGGATTTGGTTATTGGAAAGAAAAATACTGATGTTGGCAAGTTGTTAAGACAATAGAAAGAAATTCAGCTTTGACTATCTTTATATGGACTCTTAAAAGCATATATCAGCCTTATTTCCCCCTGAGAATTCTAGAAATCATCTTTATTTTTGTGATGAAGTGAAAAAAATTAGTCATTTTGAAAAAGTGTTTGGATTTTTGCCTTTTGATCAGTTAGTTTCCAAGAATAACAGTTATAATACTTTAATTTATAATTCACTTTTAATAGTCCTCCTAACACCTCCTTACCTTTTTTTAAATAACTGTCCTCATTAACACAAAATTTCGTCTTGATTCTTAAAACTGGGCCTCAGGATAGATGCTTCTATGTATTTATTTTTCTCACATTTAATGAGACTTCCAGTAACTCTTTTTAATAATCCAGAAAAGAGGACAAAAAGCTCTGTTATTAATTGTCTCCTTTGCATTAGTATTGACTGTTGCACCTCAGCTGGGAGCTGGCATGAAGCCAGGGTAGCACTGGCTGGTTGTGCAGTGTAGATAACTGCTGTGTTTCAGTGACCTGGTGTTCCCTGTAGTCACACAGAACAGTTTTGATAACTCAAAGGCAGTTATGAAACTCATTAGGGAAAAAAGGGGAATGAAATGTGTTTAATGTTTGCTCCTCTGCACCTCAGTTATGTCCATAAAGCTGGACCAGGTCATTACTGAACCATGTTCTCCTAATACAAAGTGAAAGGCTCTCAACTTAATGAGCTTTTTAAGCTAAAAATGGAGCATAGCCAAGTGCTACATACCAATTTGTAGTACTGCATCAGTAGTAATTTATTCACAACTTCATGAAAGAAGTCAACAAAAAGAAAGAGCAGCTGCAAAACAATTAACATCTGTTGGGTCACTGTTCTCCTATGTTCACTATGAGACATTTGGAGATGCTTAATTTGTAAGAGTCTGATGCTTTTATATATTGACTACTTAAGAGAAAATTCAGTCAAACACTAATTGGGCATGCAGTGTTATTCAGTGGATGCTGCTTCTAGATAATAAATGCATTCTGCCATGTATATCAAAAGCAGGTATGATTTTTATGCATAAGCAGAGAATAAAAAGAAATTGGTTTTAACCATATTTCCAAAAGTATGTTTTAAGTATTTTAAATTATGAGTTCTGAAATGTGATTTTTGTCAGTTATTTTAAGAATGTCTGAATGATTTTTGATAGTAATGGCTATTAGTTCTTAACATGAGAAAAATACAGTAATCTGATTTTTAAATCCTTAAAATGCTAAAATACTCAGGCCTTTAAAGGTATAAATAAAATTCCTTTGTAATATTCTTTTTATGAGCCATGGTGATTGTATCCCACAACTAAATAACACAGAAAACAAGAAAAAATCAGAAAGAAAAGACTGGGTTCTTTTAAGGGGTGAAATTTTCTTTTCATGTGGCAAGAAATACCTGTGCCTTACAGAACAGAACCACACAACAGATTCTCCATTAAACGACCTTTTTGTTATTCAAGAACAATTTTTCTTATCAAATTATAACTATGAAGATATATTTAAATGATTTAATGCCTGAAATCAATATTGATCAAAGTAGACAAGAGCTGGAATAGTTAATCTTTCATATTGTATCTTGTCCTGCCAAATATCTGCAAAAATAAAATTAAATTCAATTTTATTTACAGTGAAAGTAACAGGAATGTATGACTTTTAAAGTACATAGAGGCCTCTTTTATTGCAGCTAGTGAAGAAATTTGGCTCTGCAAACTTTGAAGCATTAGCAAATTGTTTCCTTTGAATTTACAGAACCATATCTTATGTATATTGTGAATAACAAAAGATATTTATCTAATTCATGTAGATGGGTTCCTTACATTCAGATGTAATTTAGATTTTGGTTGAAGTTTTTTCTCCTGTATTATAAGTATCAGATCTCCACATAAGCATTCAAAAAAGAGAAAGAATCCAATGAAATTAGGATCCCTCATGATTCCTACATTCTTAAACGTACTGGATATGCTACCTGATGCATTTCATCCCAAACATTGGAGTACTTACTAGTTTCACACATGTGAAAAGGTGTCCTTCTAATCCTTAACATTTAGAAGATTTACTTTTCATGTTTGATAATTTGTGTTCTTTTTTCATCTTAAAAATGGTCTAAACATGATTCTATCTGCATTTCCTAAACCAGATAGTTCTCCAAGTGATACTATGACTTAGAATTAGTCCTTTTGCTTTTATTTATTTATCCTCAGGTACATTCTGGGATAATAACCTGAATATAACTTTTATTCATAATGCATTCTGATACAATTGCCAGGAAAAGAAAAACTAGTCACAGAAATGTATTATTGATATTGTTTTAAATTTTTTTGTTATTTTTAAAATAGAAAGGGTTGGAAGTGATCAGGCCAAGCTGTTAATTTTTATTCTGCCATGTCAATGCTCTTTTTCTTTTTTATTTTTTTCACCCCTGCAGATGCACATGTACATCAGGGTGGACAGGGCCAGACTGCAGTGAAGACATAAATGAATGTGCATCTGAACCATGCTTGAATGGAGCCACCTGTTTTGAGTCTGTGAAGCCGGGGCAGTTTGTATGCATTTGCCCTCCATTTTACACTGGTGACTTCTGCCACCAGCGCTTCAGTCCCTGTGAGCTGCCTTACAATCCATGCATAAACAATTCAACCTGCTTGGCACAAGTAGATGGAAATCCAATGTGCATTTGCAAAACAGGTGAGAACTGGAATAGTTAATTTCTTCGATTTTCTGTTGTGCTCTGGAAAATTGCAAATACATATTGAATTTGTCACTATCTTTAATGTAAGTGGAAAAGAATATGTTTCAAAGAACATAAAACCATTATGAATTGCAGAAGATTTATCAGTTGTATTAAAAGAATTGAAAGATAGCTGTCAGTTTACTTATTATTAATTTCTTATTTTACAATACTTATTAAATCTATGGTGGCTTAAATTCAGCACTCAGAATCAGTATTTCTCAGTCAATTGTTACAATGACATAGAGAGAGACATGCACCTGGCCAGCGAAGACAAACTAAATTGACAAAACAGACAGGCAGATTTAGAAAAAATGTATGCAAATGGGTGGAAGTACAAAAATCAGAGCAAGTTGGAAATTGTTTCTTTTCCCGCTGAGCTGTCAGGAAGGCCTGGCACATCAGGGAAGTAATCTTCCCTTGCTTAATGGATATAGTGGGTTTCTCCCTGTATGCACAAGGAACCAAATCACAGCAGGTGCTGACAGCTTCCCTGGGCCATGGCTTAAAAGACACAATCTCACCCCCAATGTACAAGAACTGCTAAGGTGGAACAGAGCAACAGTTTAACTGTGCAGAACATTGCTACACATTTCCATGTAGGAATTGAAGAACACATTAACTAATTAACAACTGTACTGAAAAGTTAGAAAATTTAAGTAGCAGGGGAGTACAATTACTGAAACTGGAATTGGAGCAGGATTTTGAAGTTTTCACAGTTATGCCTGTAAAGCTAGGGGTCTCTTAGGGACAAAGGCAGCAGATAACTGCAGTGTTACATGACAATAATATTATTTGTCATTTATTAAGCGACAAAGATATGGATATAATATTTGGGAATGAGGAGCATATAATACCTTGGGTTTGTTACTTTTAAGGTAAATGTTACTGCAAACTGCTGAGAAAAAACCAAAACATCACTGGGGAGGTGTGCAAGTTGCTTAGTGAAGCATCTTTAGAAAAGCTGGTTTTCAAAAACATAGGTAGATTACTCCAAAACACTTGACTTAGTAGTAAATGGCATGTGGATTAAACTTGACAGTAGCTAACAGTCTGGTCATTAGAAAGGTTGAGTCTGATGTAACAGGAATCACAAAATGTAGCAGTGCTTACCAAATTTTAACAGCTACCTGAGAACACCATATCATAGAACACCATATCTGAGATGGGTACAACAGGACCATAAATTATACCACTGCCAGTGGTACATATTTAGAAGAAAAAGAGGATTTGTGTTGGCTAGGTCAGAGAAGATAAAAGCTGATAGAACATGAATTGGGCAGAATCAAAGTTGATGTAAGATATTAGTTTAGGACAGAATTACCACAGCAAATTGGTAGGAAGGTGATTAAGTCATGATTAGCTGTAGTATAAAACAAAGTTGCATCTTTGTTCCTGTATGTACATTGGGGAACTATAGCTGTCTGATTTTGCTATAAAGAGTTCTAGAATTCTACAAATACTGTTAATGTAAAACTTCCTCTTGAGCTGTTGCCCTAGATACAGAGGTTTTTTTTCCTTCAAAGAGATAGATTATAATATTTGTGTAACAAAACTGGGCTCTCATACCATAGATCATGGAACAGTGTTAGACCATGACTTTAAGTCAAATTGTCCACAGAAGCATGTTAAACAGCTTAAAAAGTTATGAACTTTACAATTGCACGATGGTATATTCAAGGTTGCAAAAATGTTGAAGGGAGGGCCATTGTTGCAAAAGCTTAAGAATCACTGCTGTAGAACAAGTTTCCCAAGAAGTGTAGAGAAAACCCCTCTTAAATACTTTACCAGTAATTGATAAGCAAGGGTTTGATCAAGACAGTTGTGAGGACATATGGGTTTGAGCTGTTAATCATATAGCCAGCACTGAATCTCCTTAAATAATACAGACTAAATGCAAACAAAACAGGAGGAATGGAAAACTTAGGGCAAATAGCAGGATTTTTATTGCTTAATTTATCAACATGTCTTTCCAGTATTAGAGAATCCATTCTTAGAATTAATCTTAATAATAGAACTGAAAATTTAGTGTAACAGAAAAGCAAGGCAGGAGATGTAAGCAAGACTATATAATTTAAATAATGTTGAAATATTTGTAGCTGAGTCTTGACCACTATTCATAAATTCCCCTAAAGGTCTACATGAGAAAGATTCAAAGAGCAATTCAACTAAGTAAAATAGAGGGTAAATAAGCAAGAGTCTAGGCATTAGACCATGCTCTTCTAGATAATGCAAGCACAAAACTGTTAGTGTTTTAGAGGCAACCCGAAAGAGAGATAAGACATTTTGGTAAAAATAGTGATGCTTTCTAAGAATTGTGTTCCAAGAAAAAAAAAATACTGAAAAAATGTATTCAGAATCAAGGAAAACTATGAGAGGGCATACAACTACTGAGTGCAAGATCAGCTCTCTGCTGGAACTGATGAACAAGTTTAATTAATGATGAAATGGGCGATAAAAGATAACAGTTTTAAGAAAGTGTGAAACCTGTGTAATTATAAGCACATAAATATTGCAGAGAATAACAGGATAATTTGCAACCATAAACTACAAGGCCAGAAAATATCTCATGTTTTCTAATAAGACTTTTTTTAACTGCGATTTATTCTTTTATGAGAACTATTAGTAGTTATTGTTATAGTAGCTATATAGTAGCAAGACAAGCTAGTAGGGAAGGCAGAGTTGTTGCAGACTTAAAGAGAGGAAGAGAAGGCCAAGATTGCTGAATTAAAGTGGTTCCTAGAATTCCTGCTTCTTAGAAGGTGGAAACTAATCTCTCTTTAAAATCAGATGTAGAACTTTCTTCACTAGTCCAAGTAATATGGATAGGATAACCTCAGGATGTTCATGCAGCCTCCTTATTACAATGAAAACAATTTTGCATAAACATGTTAGGCTGTGATAGAAAAATTATCAGGAAATGCTACATATTACACATTAAGTATTGCATACATATAGAGAGAGTTCATATCAAAGCTTTACTTACTCTTTTCAGAAATATGGATTATTTGGCCAGCATTTGTTTAACTCAGTAACATCTTAATGAGTTATGGTAGAAGGGAGATTGGACCAATATAATAATGTATGTATTATTGAAAGAAGTAAACTGGAAATGTCTGGATTGTAGATATCCACAGTAATACATTAAGCAGGTATTATTTTCTGATGTACTTCATTTCACACATAAGTAGACATATAAAGTGAAATGGATAATGCTAGAGAATGTTTATGTCACTCTGCCTACTATTTAGGCAGCTTAGGAAAAATCTTTCAGGTGGTAGGCAGGCTGAATTCATGACCAGTTGCCTCTTGTGATTTTGCTGTAAAATTGGGGGGTTTGGGGTTTGTTTGCGTTTTTTTTTGTTGTTTTTTTTTTTAATTTCACAGCTTTTGGAAGCACACAGTTTTAGCGAGGAGAAAAAAGAACAGGAGGTAGCAACATTTGTCATTACAGCACACAAGTACACAAAGGCTTTGTCATCCTATTTATCCTCATTGCAGCTTTAAAAATACAAAGCTAGAAACTGAGAAGTTGAAAAACTGGTTTATGCATGGGGCTTAAGGTTAAAGCCATCAGTTTTAGGGTGCAATGAAATTATGTGTATTGTTCCAGGGAAATCTATAAAAAGGACTCATCTCTAAGGAGAAACAATAGCAACAGTTTTTACTGGAATTATGCATTCTATTTTTTCTTTGTCCTTTCTAAAAGCAATACACTCTTTATGCTTCAAGGCAATTTTTGAAGCCCTTGTTTTAAACAGATTTTCCCTGGACTTTTTCACTTCTTTTATCAGTCTCCTGTCAATAGCTTTCCCATGACACCTACTCTTTGTTCTAGATGCTAGTGATCATTTTTATTTGGTCTATAGCACCTTATAGCTTGAAATTTGAACCGAGGCAAAATATTTTTCAGCCAATGCCTGAAACAAGGCTAGGTGAAAATTATCATAATGTACAAAATTTATACTACCAAGAAGAAATAATAAATAGATGAAGAAAAACAAGTTGTTCAAATTGGAGTTTGCCATTGTCAAATTTCTGAGTCCTTCAGTGCCAGTTTCTTTTTCAGACGTATGCATACATAATTTACAGAGGGAAATAGCCTTTTTACAGTGCCTAATATTTTACACACCTCTGATTTTGATTCATGTACCTACTTATGTTATGCTGAACAACCTAAGTACCTGAACTAATGATTATGGGACTGCTATTATATCTCTGCTGTTTGCAAACATTGGTTCATAAATAGTTCATGGTAAGGAGAGAAACATCTATGGTACTGTTCTGATGAGCGAAACAGTAGAGAGATTAGGGCAAAAGAATCCTATTAGAATCCTGTTGCCTGCAGAGGTCAATTCTGTAATACATTCTCTACAATGGAATAAGGAGATGGAAATAACTGTGACAGCAGATATTTAGCTGCATATTCCATTGCTTTGCAACTCCCAGAAGCCCCATAGACAGAGTTGACAAATGCAGGATTTCCTATATTTCAGAGAAACAGAAGTAAAACCAGCATCTGTCTCATCTTAAGTAACAGCTATCCAGATGTTCCTAGACCTCATATCTTTAAAATAACTTTCACACCACCTGAACAATTAAAAATAGAGAGAAATAAGATTTTATTTTGTAACACTGTAATAAGGAACTTTAATAATTTTCAGGGTTTTTTTATCTCTGTTAATTTCTGAAAGTCTGGAATATGTTATGTTACTAAAAAATTAAACTTACTTAAATACTTCCTCAAATATATCTACCCATATTCAATACATTCACAAATGTTTTAAACTAATTGCAATAGCAATATAAAGCTAAAATATATCTATATCTGTGAGTTATTTATAATGTTACATTGGTTTACCTTCAGTGCATCCTTTTCAGTAAAGTTCCATTTTCCCTGCCCATTGACTGCCTTCCACTCAGTAATCAAATTTAGTTTTAGAAATTTCAAGCATTACAAATAAAATAGAAATTGCAGATGAGGAAATTGACTACAAATAGTCCTATGAGTCCTAATGTCTTATCTGCACTAATGCCCTCCAATTTCTTTATTAAACCAGTGTTGTGAATTTTTCTGCTCTTACTCAGTGGCACTGAATGGCATGTATCAAACACCTGCTGAATATTTTGTATGTCAGACTTCTGCCTACTCACACAACCAGGCCTAGAATCTAACTTGGTCCATGGTGTACTAGTTTATAGTTCTTTTATCTTTCTTTTTTTCTTAATCGAAGTACAGGCAGGAATAGATGAAGGTTCAGGAGCATTAAGATGCAGATTACACGTGCTACAGATAAGAAAAGTGTTTGGATGGCTCTCTCTGGTTCAGGCTCATTTGCACATAGTAAACTAAACCATTCAGAATACAATTTTTTCTGTGCTGAGAGATATATTTCAAAACAGAACACTGAGACACAATTTTTCTTGCTATTATGACCATTCTTTCACAGGTTTTTTGGGGGGATTGGTAGGGATTTTTTGCTGGCTTGTTTTGGACCTTTTTGTTTTGATTTAGTTTTGATTTTATTGTTGGGTTTTAATTTTGTGAAACGTACAAATAGAAAATAAATGAGGGTATCCTTTCATGCTCAAGAAATTTCTAGAAAAAAAATAATATCATAACAACATAAATGACTATAATAGAAAGGCTATTTTGAGAAATGTTCCAGGCTTTATTTTCCCAGCTTTATAGTGACATTGCTGTGAAATCTTCAGCAAATATTAGCAGTTAATTTCAGTGAGGCCCAAAAATTATTGAATAGAAATAATCCTGATAAGAAGAAAATACCAACTGCTTTGATATATTCTCATGTTTAGATCATATATTGGAGTACCAACAGAGATTTCTTTCTACAGCTTTCTTTGGAACTCTGACCAAGACACTTATTTCTTCCAGTCAAGATTTTCTCTATACAAAAATAAGCCATACTATTCTAACAGTGGTCTTTTATTATTTCCTCACCTTCTTTAAGTACTTTGAAAACCACAAATACAAAACATAACCAAAAAATACTATTCTTATTGGGGTATCTAAAAAAGTAAAGCTTATTGTTTTAATAAAGAATTCAGTAGAACCGTTGCCATATTAATAGCAAAATTTAAAGCTGTTTCAATTTAATTTTTCTATATCAGTGATGCTCAAAATCACTTGGGTGAACTCTCTTTACGGTCATTAGGCAACCTGCAATCAGCACTCACATATAGTACAATGCAAATAGTTTTCTCATCGCAATGGTTTCATTTCTCCATCAATTGAAAACAAATACATTGAATTTGTGCAAAATTCAACTGAGTAGCTATGGTTTCTCCATGGTATGTATAGAATTTCACCACAAAGATGCATTTAGGAGAACATGTATTTATGCAAATGCTACAAGATGCAGTGTGCTGTCTAAGAGCAAAAATAGGGTTCATGTATCACTGAAAACTGTCTTATTTCATTTTAGTACATATTCTGGAACACTTACACAGGCAAATGTAATGTATTATGCAAGTGATGTACTGTGCAAATAAAACCTTAATCACATTTTGTCTTCACTAAATATAAAACCAGTTGTTTTTTTTCTCAGCTGCTGACTGCTTTGAATAAATGTGGTCCTCTAACTTCCACTACTCTCTAATATATTAATTACTGAATTAGCTTTTAGTTTCTGACTTTGTCCCACACTCTCCAAGAAAGCTTTTCTGTCCTTTAAAATGGATTGCATTTCTCCAGGATATTTATCCAGATGCTCTATCCAAATCTGCTCTCTCTGATTCATTAAAGTATGTTGAGACTTCATATACTGTCTGGAAATCAACTAGCTGAAGCTAAGGAACAAAAATAGTTGAAGGAAGTTCTTTCAGGGTTACTTCTACTTGTAGTTCTAATTTCTTCGGGTCAGTGAGCAGTAAGGGTTGGCTCCTTCAGAAGCAGCAGTCAGCCACAAGTCTGACAGGATGTGAACGAGGCACGGCAGGGCAGAACCAGTGGCTGTGTCCAGGAACAGCAGAAGGGGCCAGTCAAGGCTACAGGGAATGGGGCAGCTCCAGGGGCAAGCCAGGGAGCCTGTCTGTATGCCAAAGTCAGCATCCTGCACAGCTAGGCCAGGGACAAAGAGCTGCAGCTTAAATGCCCCAAAGAGAAGAGGTAGCCATTGCTGATGCTTCTCTCAGGACTTTATTAAACAGCTTTGAGTGCAGCTGAAGCCAGCCACTTTCATTGTCTGAGTTAGTCCTGGGCTCAGATAGCCAAATGCCCACGAGAATCTGTGACCTATTAATTCACATATGAAGTAGTTGAGTTCGTTCATTCACCATTAATGAAATCTGTGTTTCAGGATTTGAGGGCACTTACTGCGAAGTTAACAGTGATGAGTGCATCTCCCACCCATGCCAGAATGGAGGTCTCTGTGTGGATGGGGTCAACCACTACAGGTCAGGAAAATTACTTGAATGACAGATATGATACATGGCTTTTTATCATCTAGCTTTTCCTTTTGTACTCTGAATGTCTAGTGTTTGCTGACCTTCAGTGAAGGGGGGCAGGGTATGTAATGTGTTTGACAGTTACATTATAGTTTAAATCTTCTTGTGTGCAAAAAGTAATACATATTCACCATAAGTATGACCCCAAGAATTTATTGTAGGACTAATTAAAATCATAAGGATCCAATTTAAAAAAGCAGAGTTGTTAGTCCACTTACAGTAGTACAAACAATCTGAGTTGAAATCAATAGAAAAACTTAATGAAGAATATAGTTATAGCTGCTACATAAGAAATCTTGCAATTATGTCTCTTTGATTACCCTTACAAAGTCTGTGTGCATCCTGTGATCAGTGATCTTCTTCTTCTTCGAGAACTGGCAGTCTTATTGCAGGTCATTAGCATCTGGAAGTCTTTGTCAGGAGAACTAAGATGTTCACAGTGGGTTGTTTCACATCTTCAGTCAAGCTTTCTTGAAGCCTCTCACTTACCAGCACTCCCAAGTCCTTCTCAGTAGGGCTACTCTCAATCTGCTCATCCCCCAGCCCATGCTGATATCAGTGTTGCTTTGACCCAGCTGCAGCACCTCGCACTTGGTCTCATTAAATCTCATGTAATTCCTAAGGGTCCATCTCTCAAAGTTGTCTTCATCCCTCTGGATGTCATCCCATCCTTCAGGAGTGGAACACAAAAGGCTATTATTTGTAACACCCTGGTCATCTCAGTGTCTCACACCCTTGCTGCAGATGCCATTCCAGAGCTGAAGCTATAGTATGAGGGGCATCAGTCAGCTGGCTGCAGGGCAGGTGTCAAAATGAGAGAAAAGTAGCTCAGGCCAAGGCGAATTCTAAATAAGCCCTTGCACAGTGGGGTCAGCACAAAGCCTGGGGCCTTCAGCTAATGATAACCAAGGGCTTCAGACACTCTACTTGCTGGCGTTTGTTAAAGTACTGCCCTTTGCAGTAACCAGTAAAAAGCAAACATGATTTTGGTACTATTTAATTAATACCTCCCAACATCTGCCATATTTTTCCTGAATTTTTGTAATGACCTTAAAAGTAATATAGTGATATCCTTTTTGCTAGGTGCTCCTGCCAACATGGCTTTACTGGGACCCTATGTGAAATGGAGATTAATGAATGCTTATCAAGACCGTGCAAGAACAATGGAACTTGCCTGGATCTCATAAACAGGTCAGTCACTACTAAATTACAAGTTTCCCTGACTTCCTTATGTTAATTATGGGTTTGGATGGAACCTTCACCATACAAGTTACAATGTACTAAGCAAATGCTACTGGCTCAGTTTTTTGATTCCTATGTGACCTTAAAGAAAGATAGAAGGGAAAATGTATTTTGCATAACTTGTCCTTTTCCTCCTTAATTTTTTTTTGTTTGTTTGTTTTTAATTTGGAAAAAGACTGAAATAGAAGAAAATTGATATTGTTAGATTGGTACAAGCCCTGTGTTTGTTCAACAGCACTTCACAAGTTATTCAGAGACTTGTGCCAGATCACTAGCCCTTAAGTAATTTCTTAAATCTTCAGTCAAAATTACTGTGCCAAATTGTTCTATTAATTTAACAAAAAGTAAATCACCTTCTTTGCTTCTGAAACATGGAAATGAGAAAACTCTGTTCATTATTTTAATATGGATGAGGATTAGAGACACCAGCTTGGCATCAGGAGATTCATATGGCTTTAAAGTATTGCAATAGATCCCATTGTTACTTCCATTGACATACCTGATTTTTCTTTTTCTGAAGATTCATTTGTAACTGTGCACCTGGATACTACGGGTCTCTGTGTGAGATGGATGTAAATGAGTGTGAAACTTTGCCTTGTTTACATGGAGGAAGCTGCATCAACAGGCTTGGAGGCTATCGGTGTCTCTGTCTACCTGGATTTACAGGTATGATCTACTCTTACAGCCAAGCAGCTTATTTCACAGGTTTTGCATGGTTTTAATATTATAGCAAGAACAGTAATTAATCTCCTTATTGGAGGATAAATCAATACTAACTTAAAAATAGTTTTATCTAATTCTCCTGAAGTAGCTCAAGATTATTGATATTAAGACTTGAATTATCAATATGCTACCTGGTCATTTGAATTTGTACAGAACCATAGAAACACCTTGACTTTTGACCCGTTTGATTGACACCATTGCATTTAGTGCTAATCTGTACATTTTTACAGAGTCAGGAAAAAATATTTAATGGGTAGAGATGCAGTAGAATTTCCCTAAAATGATGTTGACTTTCATTTAAATGTTCAGTGTGCTGCTGAGCTAGTTCATACATAATGTTTTAATAGATCCATCTTAAGCAACATGAAAACACACGGGATCATATGACTGCAGAAATATTTAGTTGTTTCCTCAAATTGAATCATTTCTACATTTTTTTCTGCATAAAAATGTTTTTCCTATCTATCCCAGCCTGTGATGAATGCCACATAAAGTACAAGATAAAAAAGGATGCAATTTGCATCCACTGAACTGAGAGGAATGTAATTCTCCACAGAACAAAGAACAAGTACAGTTATGGGAATTACTATATAGCCGTGTATCCTTCTTCCATTCACCACAAATCTAAGTCCACATATCACTTGTGCACTGTTGTTCAAAATTATCCTTGATATTACAGCAAAAAATGAAAAAATATATATAATTTTCCTGCCTAAATATTTTAAAGCCTCCCCCTGCAATATTTTCTTCAGATGGCCTGTGTTCTAAGTAGTACTTCTTGGGAGCCACAGAAACTTCTGTTCATCAGGCAGTGGTGCTGCAGACGTTATTTCAAATAAATATTAAAACAGTTGTATTAAAATTTATGTATGTGTTTTTGTAAGAATTCCCTGTTATATTTATAAAAGACAAGACATCTGCACATGAGCACTTAGGAGATTCTAATTTGAAAAGGAACAAGGAATCTGCAGGTGTGCTTTTGTCTTGATTTTTCATTATTGACAAAGCAGTTTGACTTTAGTGCTTTTCTCTAACATATTTAACCAACAAGGATAATATGTTGGGTTTTGTTCTCGATTTTTTTGTGATTATTTTTTTCCAATTAGCTGTAATTTTGAAAGAACTTTTCTTTCAAAGAACAGGCCCCTTCAAAGACAGATGACAGCATGAATTGTTTCCAACAATCAGTTAAATTTAAAAAAAGTTTTAATATGCTGAGAATTTTAATCATCAACTATTAAAATATTATACGCTTATAAATGAAGGGTAACTGGAAACAAATTAAAATACATTGAATTGTTTGGGCCAAATTATGTTAGTATATTTCATTTTGTTTATTAAATCTTATTTTTAAATTACTAACTTTTATTAGATACTCCGAATATTTTTCCTGGTCATAATGTAATTTACTTAGAGAAGCCAGTCTTAGAGAAGCCAGTCTTTAGACACTGATCTCTGCTCTGTTGCCTCTAAAATTTTGGTATATAATGTATCTTTTATTTTAAATTCTTAAGTTATTTAAGTTTAAAATAGAATTTTAACTTCACCATGGATTTATCTTATTTTGGATTTATTTTACATTGTTCATAACTTTATTTCATTTTAAATAGATTTAAAAAAATACTTAAGAAATAATTTGTAAACCATTAAAATATTGTTTGTTATCCACACTGCTAATATAAAATCTAATGCTTTGCATATCACATAGACTTAAAGAAGATGATCACCTTTCAGAGTAAAAATGCTCAGGTGTATTCTGACATGATTTCACTGGCAGCAACAATGATCTTTCTAAGCTCTAAATATCACTAATGCACCCTGACTAAAATCCTTACACCAGATACTTTGGAAAATAAAACTTTGGTGATCTGGGCATATAAGAAACTGTTTATTTCCTAGAGCAAAATAAGAAGTGATTTCATAAAGCAGTTCTGAAAGTTCTGAGTAGAATAGCTCTTTACTCAGACCATAGCTGTTACTGCTTGTTGCTTGTAGGTTGGTGGTACCAGAGTGTTAGATATAAAAACACTAAATGGAAGCTACCTTGTGAGTCACTGAATCTAAAATCTGTTTGGTCTAGACAGCTATTTGTTGGCTGGAGTAATGAATGTTAGTGCTTATAACAATAACTGTTAAATTTATACTTCAAATCTAAAGAAACTAACAACTAAACCTTTTGTTTTCTAATGAGACTTAATGTGCATGGAGGATAGATATTTTGAGTAAGAAAACATTCTGCTTCCATAGTCTTCTTTACACTAAAATAGCCTTTGAAATATGTATTACTCAGGGACTGCTTTTCTCTACATGACTTCAGAACGCTTTGATTTTGTAAATGTTACTACAAATACAGGAATTTTTTTGATAATCTAAGGATGCCAAAGAATATGTAACAATTATTTTGGCTTGATAGGTTACCAAGGTTCTTTATGAGGGAGTCTGAAGATACACTTTAAACAAGTGGAAGTTTCATGACTGTTTGTGGAATTATAAATGAAATGGAATTTAACCAGCAAATTAAAACTAGAAGCAAAATGTAATCTAGGAGTACAGCTATACCTTCATTGATGCAAAGCTATCTGACACATTCTGAATGTGCACTCCTACAAAATTATAAAAAATATATATGTCAATATGTCACTGAGTTTGATATTAAAAAATTAACAAAAACACTGATATTAATTTTACTTCAAATTCTTAGTATAACATGTGTATTTAAACACAATGTGTTGCGATCTCTTGCCCTGAAAATCACTTTAATGGCTGAGGTGTTAACCTCTTCTTCTAAATCTTGCCACTTGAATAATCTTATGTCAAAATATAACCCAGATGATTTAGACATGCTTCAAGTGAAATAATTTTCACTAATGAAAAATTTATTATATGTTCAAGTATAAACTATAAGTGTCTCGGTCACCAACTCTGCTGTAAAATGGATTTAATAAGAATACACGTTTTTGACTCTAGAACTTTGTTAATTTTTAATTGCTTAATTTGACAATGTTCTAGGATTACCAAATTGTGACTGTCTTCATTGAACGACTTGATCATTCCTTAGACTTTACTTTCTGGTCTTCTTTATTTGAGGCTAAGAAAACAATTTTAAGATCTCTTAGAGAGACTAAAGTGTTTGGGTTTTCTTTAAATGCGTTGGGTTGACTTGTCCTGCTGCCAGCTGATCATCCAGCTGTTCTTTCAGTCCCTTTCAACAACAGAATAAGAAAAGAAAGTAAAGATGAAAAAATGAATGGGTCAGCAGCATAGAAAGTAACATTGAGTGCACTCTCAGTAAGTTTGCCAATGACGCCAGGCTGCGTGGCTCAGCTGATCTACTTGGAGGGAAGGAATGACATCCAGAGGGCCCTTGCCACACTGGAGAGATGGACCTGTGGGAACCTCATGAAGCTCAGCAAGGCCAAGTGCAAGGTCTTGCATGTGAGTCTAGACAATCCCAAACTGGAACTGTTTGACAAGGAAGTCAGATCAACATGGCACTTGCAGCCCAGAAAGCCACCCATATTGTGGACTGCAGCAAAAGCAATGTGGCCAGCAAATTGAGGGAGGTGATTTTCCCTCTCTGCTTTGCTCCTGGAAACTCCCACCTCTGTCTAGCTCAGGTGTCCCAGCATAAGAACAACACAGACCCTTTGGAATAAGTCCAGAGGAAGGTCACAAAAAGTGGTTAGAGGATTGGAACACCTCTCCTGTGGAGACAGACCAAAAAGTTTGGGGCTGTTAAGCCTGGAGAAGAAAAGAGAGATGTTATAGCAGCCTTCAAGTGTGTACAGGGGGGCTGTGAGAATCCTACAGAGGGACTCTTTAAATGTCACATAATGATAGAACAAGGGGGAATGGTTATAAGCTAAAAGAGGAAGCTGTGTCTGTCATGAGGCAATCCCTGGTCTCTTCTCACAGAAGGTGCCTTGCAGCTCCTCCATCAACACTTTCTCACCTTCAGTCATTATTAAAAATAAGATTTCAGTGGCTAAAATAGAATGTGCGTTAAAGTGAGCTATATGAATTCAAAATCCTTGTTCAAATGACCAATTACTGGTTATCATCCAAAAGATGCCAAAAAATGACTAAGTACCATGAAGTCACTGATTTCAGTCATTTCTGTAGGGCAGTAATTATTCCTTAGCTTTAAATAGTTATTCTGTTAAGCACAGATCTCTCTTTCTTATCTTCCCTATGAGATGAGTACAAACTGACATTTGGAAGTGACTGTGTACTTAAGTTATATGTTAAATGAAGTCAAAATCTTGGCTTAAATAACTCAGTTTGTATTTTATCTTTTACGTCAGTTTTGAGGCCCAGTCTTCCTTATCATCAGCCTCAGACCCTGCTGTTCATCTTATCTATGTGACAATGGAAACTGCTCCACTTTTCATACAATAGGTTCACCCAACAAAAATGTCCCACAAAATCTAATCAGTTAAAAGGGAGAGAAGTTTACTTTGTCTTTTTGACCTTCCCAGCTGCCTTTACAGCTTTGTACTGCCAGTCAGCTCTGGTAGTGATTGCATCTGCACTCCTCAAGCCTCATGGCAGCCTTGCTGTTGATATCCAGTGGAAGAAAAGTAACTACACTACTAACGGAAGTGACCACTTATTTAGTCGGATAGGAGGAATCTAATGGCATGCTCCTTGACATGTTAAAGCAAGAGGCAGCTTACATATAAAGAGGCCAAAACTGACTGGCACATTGAGAACAAATACAACATGCAGAATGACAGATCTTCATTTCTGTACTTAATGTAGAGTTTGTGGTGTCTGACTTTTAGTTTTAATATTAGAGTATTTACATATGTTTGGGGAACTTTAGAAAAACTTTAGTTTTGGTGAACACACCATAAGAATGGCACAAATTTGCTTCATGCATTTTTCTGAGATGTGCTATAATGTCTGTGCTGTATTCTGATTGGCTAGGAAAGGATGGGACACTTTTGCTGGACTTGTTGAGCTTGAACACTATTCAGGAAAGATGTCCTAGGCCAGAAAGAACCTAGAACAGTAAGGTGTAATCTCATTGAGTATTTGGCCTGAAGTGACAAATCGGGACTGCTCGCTGTCTCTCCTGGGAGCCAAGGTCAGGACACAAACATTCTTTTTCCTCTCAAAGTGTCTTCTGGCTTACTAAGAAGAACCTTAAGACATACTTTATACAGTTAAGTCTTAATCTGGTAGCAGCTTTGCTTCATTGCTGCTCCTCCTTTCTCATGAAAGAGTGTTCAAGAAGGTATGGCCAACGGGATGAATAGGAAACACCTGACTGAGCTCAGATGCAGAGAAGAAGCACACATTCAGTGAAAGGAGCAAGCACGAGCTACTTAGGAGGAATAGCCCAAGTCTGTAGAATTGAAATTAGGAAAGGAAAAGCTACACTGGAGCTGAGAATAGTGAAAATGTGCGATGCCATAAGAAAGCCTTTTATATACATTGGGAGCAGAAGGAAGGACAATAAAAAAGTGGACCTATTTCTCAGTGGGCTGGGGAACCTTGTGACAAAAGGCATGGAAGAATCTGCGGCATGCAAAGCTTTCTTCAGGTTTTATGACTAAAGATCAGACTTAAGCCTTCCAGCGTTCTAAGCTTTGTGGTAGAGTTGACGATATTCCTTTTTTAACAGGCCTCCTGATAGAATATGATCAATTAACAACAACCAAATTTTTGCAAATCTAGTTGTCCACACTTCCAGACTATAAAGTCCTAACTTGTGTACAGGAATATTGTGGGAGACAGTGTCAAAGCCATGCTAAAATCATGATAAGTGACATACACTCCTAGGAGCTCCAGAGCTGTTAGTTGTTCCCTAGCTATTACTGCTAACTAGGAGAGACTTTGTACTTTTCATCCAGTGTAACTTTGGAGGGATCTTTGAATGTATTTAAGTATGTCATTGTGCATGCTTTAAAGGAGTTTATTTTGTAAGAGTTACAAAAACCCAGGGGATTGAAATCTCAATTTCCACACAAATTACTCTGCAACAAATACTGAGACAAGGGAACATTTAAGCGGCTCTAATGTGAGAACACCACAAAGGAACACTACATATCATAATGCCAGTCTATTCTTCTGTGACTCCGTAACATTTCTTTGAGCTTTCTGTAAGTTGTAAATGAATTTAATATCCTTCATATTAAATTATTGTAGCATTTAGAAAATAAAATATTTTAAATTATATAAGAATATTTCAATAACTATTTCTCATGCTGCATTTTGTTTTACTGTGGACTGAAAAATTCTTGACTGGTTTTAGCCAGGACAGGGTTAATTTTTGTAATAGCTAGAAAGGGGTATGACTAAGGCTGGGATGCTATTCTATACCACTTCAGGTCATTGTTGGGAGCAGGAGGAAAGGGAGTCTCCCCTCTGGGGAGAGGGGGTCCCTCCAGTCAAGAAAACCTGCTGGGGGAAACTGTCCAGTATTTATTTATTTTCATGAGCTTTCCATGTAAATTTTTCAAATTGATGTTATTATTAATTTCCTTATCTCATTGTTCTTTCCAATAAATTTTTCTTGTCTCAACTCTTGATCTTTGCCTTTTGTGCCTCCAGTTGGAGGGGGGGAAGGGAAGAGGCAGCATGGTTCTAATGCCAGCACTGAATTGGGGAATATGGTTCCTAACCCACAACAACTGGGAACTAGTTAGAAAGAAAGAAACAAATTAATCAGATATAACTAGTAAGATAGAAACAAGCAATTCATCACTTAAGAATCTGTGGATGTTTCAGTCGTTCACAGCAATAAATATCTAAAGCAATGAATAATGACAGATGGTTTCACTTTGCAGAACACAGCATGCTATATGTTAAAACATGTCCTATAAAGATGAGCTTCTTATTCCCAAAAAATAGGTGCCATGATAGCATCATTTTGAATTTATATGGGAGAGGTAGAATTTGACCAGATTTTTATTAAAGAGTGTAAAAAAAAAATTACAAGGGTATAATAAAATACATTCTAGTCACAAGTAATTTTTCATATACCATCATCACAAACTTGTTGCATTTTCATTTGCTTCCTTGTATCCACATCATACTTTCTATCCTATGCATTTTGTCATTGACTAGGTTACTGGATCAAGCTGTACAGGGGAAATTTCATTCTTGAATCAGAATAAATCAAGTTGGAAGGGTCCTTCTGAGGCCTCTAGTCCAATTGCTTGCTGAAATCAGTTTTAGCTATGGGGTCAGACCACGATGCTCAAGTCTTTGTCCAGTTGGATCTGGAAAACCTCCAAGAACAGAACAGTTCTTATCTCTGACAGAATATTTAAACTGTAATGTGAATAATGCATTGCTTTACTCATAGCAAATGTGAATTCTAGGGTTTCAAGAAGAGAAAGAGAAGTTGAATTTTTAGCTGAACAGTAAATTTTTTCGTTTATTGTCATTTGAATCTAAAAAATGCATAAAAATGCTTCTGTTTTAAATAAGACCATTACATACAACATAAAACATGCCTAATGGAGAAGAAAATCAAAACTACTACTACTACTACTACTAATGATAATAGTAATAATAATAATAGGTATATAATTTTAATATTAGTGTATCCTGGAGGCATTCATGTTATACAGTGATTTGGAATTAAATATGAATAATTATTTTTACACAAAGCTAAACTTACATTGCTTTAGAGTGGTGACAGAACATTTTTTTCTTTATGCATTTAACACATAGTACAAATCTTCAAATTTGCCTTATTTCAATTTTATTTTACATGTCATTTTATATCACAATGTTAAAATAATAAAATATTACTATACTGGATAAAACATTTTTTTATCTGTAAGATATGTGAGTGTGCTTATATTAATATAGGAAATACAGGAAATTTATACATATTATATTCAGTGCAACATACCGATACAATTATTTTCTCCATATTGACCTGCATTAGCTCAAATGACATATTCATTGTTTCTCAGAAATTTGTCTTTGACTTACAAGTTTTCAGTTATCTTTCAGTTTTAAAAGTTTTCCTCAGTTTTAACAAAGTCATTGATCACACTAAATCCTATGTTCTTAAAGTCAAAAATTAAGAAGTCATAGATATTGAATTGATATTTGCAGCTTGCTTGGCTATAGTGTGACAATGTGACATTGGCTCCTCTGGAAATATTGACAACTATGTTAATTTTTTTTATGATGTTTCCTATATTCAGACATTAATTAATAGATTTAATTGCATGGTTTCAGGTTTATCTTGTTCTATATCCCTTTTTGTAAGTTCATTCAACTGCCAACTAAATCTTAATTCTCAACTGCTATGTCTTTAGGTGTGGCTTGTATCAGTGTCATATTCCTTCAAACAAAAAGAAAGAAATCATGATCCAATCTAAAGTTCAAATATCTAAATAACTGTATAAGCTACAGGTGATACTTTTATATTTTATCCCTCTGGTTCTTGTATTCACTTTTCAATTAAATGGGAAAGTGTACTTCTCAAGAGCCATGCATAGGTATCCAAGGTCCCTAATTGATATTTAATGAAAACAAAGGTTGTCAAAGTTTAAAAGCGAGGAAATTAAAGTTTTTAATTGTTTTAATTATTTTGTTTCCTGTGGTCTAATCTTATCTTGTAAAGTTCTCTGTAGTGCAAATCAAACGTTGTCTAAACAAAGAAAAAGAAACTTCAAAATAGGTGGCAACCTTTCAAATTTACTGCAGTCCAATCACCACCAATTGAATTTGACTTGATATATGTGAATTAATTGCCTGAAATAAGTCTATTACTGACACAAAGTACAATATAAATAGAAAATCTAAATCTCTGGTATTAGTCACGAAGTTATAATAAATCTTACTTAAGATGAAATCAACAAAAACAAGCTCAGTGACCTTTTCAGCCCTATGCCCAACTCATAGAATGTTTTCTTAACAGATTATTCATAACAGACTGAATGAGACAATGCTAAAATGATGTTGAAAGGATGTTATGCCTTTCACAAGATTAATGTCAATGTGACAAAGTGACTACTTGTTCTCTGCAGTCAGTTACTATTTTTAAGTAATTTTTTAGATTTGTAAGTAATTATTCAACAAATAATGGATTTTCTTTCTGTAGCTAGAATATGCTCTGCAATATATTTTTTAGTATTTCTGCTCATGTTTATTTTTTTTTTCATTTTTTAGATTTATGCTATAGATTTTTTGTTAATATACATAATTGGCTTCATTATTGGTCATTCAAATGATCAACCTTATAATTGCTCTTTTGATTCACACTTTTTTATCCTAAAATCTCATAGAATGGTCACAAGTAGTTTTCAATAGTCTTTTAATATTTGATACCAAAATTGACTTGAACAAGGGAACTAGGTGCTGCTGAGCAATTCTGAAAGGAATCTTTCCTTTTCTCTCAGTTCTTTCTATTTTCAAAAAGATATAAAATTTTCAGTTACTGGCAAAAGATCAACTTTATTTTTTTCTATATCATGGGTAAATTAGTATAGCATGCTAATTTTTTATTCTTTTCCATTTTTGAGCATGCTATCAGTAATCAATTGCTTTTTTATCATGCATCTGTTTTTCTTTTCCAGGTAGAAAATATTTAGCTTTATTGCTGCATAAAATTCTGTGTTCTTCCTTTTTGTCTTTTCAAACTATTCAATTCTCATAAATTGGTATCTTGAATTTTTAATCTTCTCAAGCAGCACTCAAATATCAAATATCAATCAGATGTCATCACTTTATACTTGACATTTTTCATTATGTATGTCAATATAACTATCCATTTGGTATTTACATTATAGGAAACTCCAGATGGATATTTTTTATTTATGAATATCATTAACTATATGAACAATCTATGTAACTAAAAGCAATTATGTGGAAATTCTGATATTAATAAATACAGTGTTGGTTTAAGTTTCGAATTTAAAACTTAGTTGCATTTTCTGGATTTTTAAACAGGTGATAGGTGTGAAGTAAATATAGATGAATGTATGTCTTCTCCTTGCCTCAACAATGGAAGTTGCATTGATGGCATCAGTTCCTACAAGTGTCACTGTAAGAGAGGTTTCATCGGAACAAACTGCCAGATAAATGTTAATGAATGCTCACCAAATCCTTGTCTTCACGGAAGGTGCCTATTCTTATTTAACACTTATTATCTCCATGATAATGTACCTAACTAACAATATTCAAGACTTAATGATATGGGATGTTTGATAAATATACTTTTAATTATGTTCTTCCATAAAGTAAGAGTACAAGCACACTTAAAGATGACAGATGTTGCCTGCTTAATCTAATGCAATATAGTGACATTATCTCAATTTCTCCTGCATTTTTGTTCATTACTATAACTAGTATTCAGTAAGTGGGGATTAATTAGCGTTTAATATACTTAAGAGAAAATCTTTAGCTGTTACATGTCAACAGTTGAAATGAGAAGATGTGTCCTAATGTGACAATCAAAATCCTTACAAAATGCCTAAGCACCCACAGTAGGCACATTTGAAATCCATTATAAAACTATTGAAAAGTACTATATACTATGTATTACAGTAGGTTACATCAGACCACTATTTTGAAATGCATAGAATGATACTACTAGTGCTATATCTGGAACCAAATAAGTAAAGAGCTAAATAACATTCTCTTGTATTTCAGATGCATAGATCTCATTGATGGGTATCAATGCTCTTGTGAACCTGGATGGACCAGCTCAAGTTGTGAGATAAATATTAATGTATGTTTTCAAATTGTTTTTTTAATTATAGGGGAAAGGTTAAAATGTTGTTGAAACTCATTTTTATTTAGTTAACCTCTGAAGTCAGTATATTGAAAATGTATGACAGAAATTCAGATGTTTAAAATCCATTCTGAAAAGAGCATTGCTTTTTGCTTACATGACAGTGCATTAGAAAAGACCATTAAAAAAATGTCAAAAGAAGTTTAAAGGTGAAATGTGAATGATAAATCTGGAAAGCCACAGCAAACTAAGCCAACATTACCTGAATATCCTTTGTCCCTCAGTTTGGGATGAATAGTGTAATTACCTAATTTGTGTGTTTGAGTCTTATTTGATGTAGTTTAGCTGCATATTTGAATAGTAAACCTCAAGGTACAATGTTCTACACTGAAAGTTGCCATGGCTTGTCTTTAAATTTCAAAAGCCATGAAAGAATAGAATTCTATGGTATAAAACCATGGAGTACTAAATACACTGCCCAGTTAGTCCTCTGAAGGTCATTAATAGTTTTATTGTTCTCATGCGGAATGTCTGTGGTCAAGAAGGGATCCATATATGTAAGTCGGTGCTGTGGAGATTCCCATGGTCAGCAAACCAATTTGGAGAAGGTGACTACATCTGGCAGAACAAATGAACAGAGTTTACAATACTGACTACTCTTTGCAGAAAGTATTGAATTGATTTAGACTTTTTAAAGTTTTCTGCCAAATGGAGTTTAATATGATGTTGGGATATGATCCTTTTAAATGCATTTGATCTCATGAGAAAATCGGGCATGACAAAGTTTGGCATGAACCTTCCTTCAGCCTATCTGGCTTCTAATATTGTGCTACTGAATTGTCAAAAAACATTCCAAAATGTTACAAAACCTTCTTTTAAACTTATGCATTAATGCAGGAACTTTTCATAATTTATATTTACAGCTTAAAGTACTAAATAACTAAAAATGTGTCATATTACATAAAGGAAGTATGGTCCATAATATTTCTGTTGAAAATCCAAGCCTCACATAAGGTGTAATTCCAGCTGGTATATTAGCTTCCAAACTCTTTTACAGAAAGAAAAAGCCAGAAAATAAGTAATCCAGCTCTGTAGAATACTCATCATGATACAATAAGATATGATATTGCAAATCTGTATGTTTATCAGCTGTTGCAAATGCTAATACAGAATACCCTTGGGTAATATTTTCTCCTGAACATCCATGATTTACACTTTTCTCCATTTGAAGAGAACAAGAGATTAAATGACCTGTAGACAACATCATAAAATTATATTCAAAAGATAATCATATTTCATAGCGAGATGTTTGAAAATGCATAGATAGAAACTCATAGGAAGAAACAATATACGTATACCTTTGACAGATAAGTCTGTCAGAGTAACAACTTCATTTTCTGATAGTCTTTCAATTTGCATGCAGTATGATTCCCAGATTACACTATGCTGCAAATGTCATATTTTAAAGGCTCTATCATTGCATTCCTGCTGCTCAGACATATATCATACCTATGCAAGCCTTACAGTGATCAGCTAGGCTTTCTGACTATGTAAGGGTATGCTTATCACAGTAATCATAGTAGGCTTATTATCTGTATTTGTTTTTTTCTAGAGTAGCTTCAGCCACTTCTTCATTTTAAAAAATAATCATTATTCAATCTGATAAATATATATTTTTTTTCCTTTAGTAGCTTGAAGGTACATTTCTATGTATTAAGGGCTATGCAATTTCATTTTGTGCAGGAGCCAAGATTCTGTTTAGAAGGGGTTCTACAGGAGTGGCTTTTGTGAGAACAGACCAGGGACTGCACCATGGTGGAAACAATCCATTTGAGTCAGCTCCAACCAACCAGCTGCAGGGAAGAGCTGAGCCTCTCACTTAAGATGATGGCACCTTTGTAGAAACATATTTAAGAAAGAGCAGAAAACACTGTTCAGCAGACAAAGGAGGGAGGGGGGAAAGAATCGTGAGGAACAATCAGGCAGTATCCGAGGTCATTGAAGAAGGAGAGGGCAGAGGAGCTCAAAATGGTGAAGCAGAGATTGTCAGAGCTGTAGCTCCTGAGGAGAATCATGGTGGAGCAGGTATTTGCCAGTGGTTCATGGAGAGA